AATAAATAAAATTTTAAAAATAACCTCTGACTGTTCTGTAAACATTCACTCATTTAAAGGGAGAACATTAAAATAAATCCTAGAATATTTATTTCATAAATTCTGAGATGGAGAGGAAAAAATGCTTGATGTTGAAACTGATTCTAATTTTATCTGAATTAAATTATGATCCCTTTCAAATAAGAAGAGATAGGTGTACTAATATCAAACAGAATTATCAACTGTACAATTCTTCACAATTCCAGTACATGTAGGTTGCCAAATATTAATGCATGGATTTTAAGAAAATTACCATCAAATCTGTTACTCATGACATCCAACTATCTAAGGCTTCAAATAATAGAAAGAATATTAATTAGAAACAGAAAACAGCTTTTTGAAAATATTTTTTAATCAAGTTACTTAGTTTCTTTACATTTTATTGATTTATTTCCTGAGAGGATTGGGGGAGGTACCCTCAACAGGGTCTTCATGTTGTAATCCACCCCCTAGCCCTGCATCCAGCCAGGATGTCACTCCCGCCCCCACCTTTCACCACCTTCCTTCTTATAGCCAGCCTCAAGGTCATAGGCAAATTGTTCTAACAAGTACCTTAGGAATCTAAATGGAAGAATCTGTCTGAGACAGAATAATTATGCCCCAAATAATTCTAGGATAGAATAGTACGCCACAAAATTGGAGTATACATGACTGTAAACTCAAAATGTCTATTTTCTGTCTAATAGAAGAAAAATTACATTTGAAACTAGAGAGAAATGGACATCATTTGTGATTTAATAGCAAGTTTGGTATTTCTGCCTATTGCAAAGGAGGAATAAAATGCTCCTCAAAAGTATTTAGCAGGATTCTAGTCTTAACTAAAAAGTATATATAATCACTTTAACAGGAAATTAGATTTACAATATTTAGATCTTTAATTATCTAAGGAAATTTTAGTAAAGGGAAAGGATATAGTTATGAGATCAATTAAATGCAAATTTCCCTCCTGCACACAGAAAGACATTCTAAGATTGTAGAACTTGCCTCCGGAACTTCATTTTGTTTTTTAGTTTATTTGTTTTTTCAGCAAGAGATTTTTGCTATAGAGTGCATGTGCTCACTGGAGAGACAGATAGAGACAGAGAGACAGAAAGCGAGAAATCACCTCCTAGGAGGGATGGCCACACTGCAATCCTTTCTCTTCCATTCTCCTCTTGGGATTTTGGGCACCCGAAAACACCTGCTGGAGCATGAGTTTAGAGTACAACAATGTATTACGCCATCTGCTGGTTCCTAGAACTTCATAATTTTTAAGTGTGTAACTTCCCTCCCTCCCCTACTGTTAAGTAATGAATATTCATGACCTCTAGTAATAAGAATAATGGTTGACCAGTATCAAACGCCGTTGCCACTTGGCAATCCGCCAGCCCAACAACCTTTTTGGGTGTACTTTCTTCCTTTCCTTTCCTTTCTTTCTATTAAACTTTCTTTTCTACTTCATTCGTAGTTGCAGTTTCATTTTGCGCCTAGGGACAGATCTCTAATTTTAGTAGTCTGAACCCAAAGAACCAAGGATTTCACAACGCAGCTCAACACTTTTCCATCCGTTAACATAAATATTACTTAAAGTAATATTTCATTCATTAAAAAGAAGCTGGTATGGTATTCTAAAACTGAAGTCAATATAAAATGAAGAATTAAAAATCACTAAAAGGGTTAAAGCAGTAATCTTTATTTTCCATTTTTGGAATTCAATCTCTAATAATAAATTCTCTGAAACAAAATGTATTCTCCTGTTCTCTGCAATGAGTTATGCCAAATAATTTCATTCGAGCAGTGCTACATCTCATTAATATGCTTCTTGGAAACCTGCCAGGCAGGAGAAAGCAATTCTAATTTTTAAATACTTTAGACATCTTATTATTATAAGTTAGGCTGAAATACAAAACTAAGGCAGGCAAATCAACCACATCTGAATTCCAGCATGCACTTCCATGTGTTCCTCGTTAATTCCAAGAGATATCTTTGATAACACATAAGCACATTAGCAGAAATAACACTGCTGTGAGTAATTTGCTATTTGGACAAAGTTACGTTTTTAAAATAAATGAGAAGTGCACACTAAATTCAATTGGCCATTGAATTCTATTAACTATCTACAAGAAACCATGTCGCTGTTAGAGAAGCTTTACCCAAGTGTAAATCATGAACTTGTGAGAATGAGTTTGTCTAATGGAGACAACAGGGTCACATGAAAATAATTTGTGGATCTTTTCCTCCTCCTTTTTGATTCTCATAGGACCATATTTCTACAGTGTCGTTTATTTTATACATGCGTATAAATAAATATGCAATAGAGTGAAAGGGGATTTTATTTCCAAGAGTGGTTTTGGCTTGAAGAATGCAGCATAATATCATACTCTAGAAGCAAACAGATAGATTTCTAACATTCAGCCAAAAAGTAGGAGACTTAAGAATAAATTCCTGTTTCCCAATTAATTGGTTTCCAGGATATGAAAACAACTATTTGAACATTCTAGTGCTTGATTTTCAGATTTGATTATCTACAATGTCAAAATGCCTCATGTGATTCTAGGTTTCCCATTTCAACTAGTTCTCTTATGCATCATTAAATAGTTCGTAAAATAATTTTGAGGTTCATATGTGGGTTACATTTATATTATTCTTCCACTATAAAAAAATAAAGGGTAATTGTTACCTGTTTATTGCCCAAGAAGAGAGTTTTCAGGAATGAAATCTTGGTTAAGTTTCTGTTGTATACCACTTCAAACATAAACTGCCTACCAAAGATTAAGACTTGGTTCAATATGTAAGAAAATATCCTGCCTAAAAAATGTGGTATTATAAAATATACAGAAGAAAATAGAGCCCTGGGAATAACTTGGCAAAATATTTTTTTTAAATGGAATGGTGTAAAATGCTGTAACCTCAACATATAAGTAACATTTCCTCTAATGATCACTAAAGATACAGTTATAACCAGATTTTCTTTAGCTCTCTTCATTCTATTCTCTTATAACATTACAAAAGTGAATTTCTGAACCAAGGTGACCATATTTATTGAAGCCTTTCTCCTTTATTTTGAAAAAGTCAAAAGAAAATGTGGATATATCTTAATCTATTTGAAGTTAACCCATACAAACTTATTCTATTTTAAGAGAAGCCTGATAGTTGAAATAGTTCATTTCTCAGGAATTTAGTAGAAGTATTTCCTGAGTGAGCAATTAAGCTGATAATAAGATATTAGTAAATGGAAAATTGCACTTATTCAAAATCTGCTATTTTATAGAGGCAAAGGATTATGCAAACATTTAAGGCATGTGCTAACAAGGAGTCGAATGAAATATAAATCCCATTAATCTTTATTTATCTTCCCCTTTTTTTATATAGCATACACAAAAGAAATTTGAGGACAGCAATAGTGCTCCCATATTTTTATCTAAGAAATTAATTCATGGGCAACCCAGGATTTAAGCTTTCGTCCTTACCCTAGGAATGATGAAGGTAAACTCAGGGCATCATTCTTGTTTATCCTTTATCATCAAATAACCTCCGCATTTCAGGGAACAAATGATTGAAATGTGTATTTCCATCTTCAAGTGAATCATCTGTACTGACTACAGATAAAATATGTGAGTTTAAAGTTAAAAGTTCATGGGACCAGCAAATGGAATAATGGTTACGTTGCTGGACTGCCACGTAGTCAACTGCAGTCTGAGTCCCAGACTCAGAAGTGGCTTAAAACTCATGCTGGGCGCCTGCACATGCGTGCTCAAAATCCTGAGAGGAGAATGGAGGAGAGCGATTACAGCGTGGCAATCCTTCCTGTTGGGTGATTTCTGGCTTTCTGTCTCTCTGTCTCTCCAGTGAGCACACAAGCCCCTATAGCAAAAATTTTTCTTAAAAAAAATTTTAAAAGTTTAACGACAAGCTCTTCTATCTTTACCTGCTTATTGACCCCCAGTTTCCTTATCCATAGGACTGAAATCAGGGTAACATTTGCCTTATAAACTATAATGCTTTCCTAGAAAGGACTTGGTACTCGATCTGGTACATAGTGTATGTTTAATAAATTTTATTATTTTACTAAATGAAGAAAGAGAAATTTAAAATATAATGACGTAAGTTAACCTTCACTGAACAATTACTATTTCATCAAGCAGGTAGTGAATACCATACATGCATTACATAATTCAATCCTTACAATGTTGCAAACTTATTTTACAGATGAAACTATTGAAGAGGAGTAATCTCTGGTCCCCAAAATTCCAAAGATCTTTTTGATTTTCTTTTGAACAACTTCTGGTTTGTGATACCTATTTACAATTCATGTTACAAATGCCATCACTTTTATTACATGCTCAAAAGTTACAGATGTAAACTATTTCTATAAATTATAATCAATCACACAAAGAAGCACAATAGATATTGCTGACTTATAGTTAAGCTTCACTTTTTGAATTTTCTATTATTTTCTTCAAAATTAAGGGTATATATATTTCATGTTTATTTTTATATGTATTTCATGTTTATTTTTATAACTACATATACATAACCTTCATATTTAAAATTATATATATATAGTTATAAATAAACTTCACCAGGAAAATACGACTTACATTGCAAATAAAGGAAATTTTAACTACCCTCCATGAATCACTGAGTCAAATATAGAAATTTTTTTATGCTCCAAGATAAAACAAAGTTAAAATAAATATGCTAGTGGTCAGCCTAAATCCTGAAGTAATATTGATTAATTCACATATGGAATTGCTTTTTAAATCACTTTTAATGCGTAAAACACGTGCGTGTGTGTAGAAATTTAAAATCCTGTTCAGAGAAAAAAAATTTCTTTTTTGCCTTTTTAAAGTCAAACATGAAATTGTCTAACAAATTAACTGAGCAACAGTAAGAACAGGGAAATTATTTAGTTCTGCTCTTCTCAATAGGACTAGAAAAGGTAGTGAGCTCTTTTCAGGTAGTGAGTTGAATAGCCAAGATCACAGTGCCATTTCCTGCTTCACACTGTGCCCATTTAGTAAAACAGAATTAGTCACCGTGTTCTTAGCATTGCTTTTCAGAGATGTCATACGCACTGCCGAAGAGCTGAGGAGGTAGCTGGTTGATCTCTCTCCGTAGGACTTTCTGCCACAGCAGAGCTGGCTATTGAAATGCCTCCTGAAGCTTTCACTGAGTAGGTAAAGAGCAAACGGATTGACACAAGAATTGCTAAAACTGAGAACCCGGGCAACTAAGGTGACAATCATGTGGCCCAGAGATGGGTCGATCTCCTTATAGTTGAAAGACCGATACATGTAGAGGACGTGATTTGGAAACCAACAGAAGACAAAGCAGCCCACAAACACCAGCACGATTTTAGCCAGGCGTTTCCGTGTTTCCATCTGCAAATAAAAGAAAATAATCCCATTGGTTGAAATGAAAACAGAGCCAGCCACATCTGAACTTCATCATGTGACAAAAAGACTAAGCCTTATATAAACAATACATCCAAAATACCCAACTTAGTCACTTTCCTCATCAAAGTGCTGATTTCAGCTGGTTTTTCTTGCTACATTATTTTTACCTAAAATTAGTTGATAGCTTATATAAGACTAGGTAGTAAATTAATAAGTGCTATGTCCTTATGTTAAAACTGTGGTCTTAAAAAACGTTTCCTTATTTTTAACTAGTTTTCTTTTGCTTTAAGTCTCACTGTGCTCAGTATAAATATAAATCATTTCTGTTGGTATTAAATCCACTAAATTAATGAACTACAGAATATATTCAAACAGGTATTATCCAAAAATTAGTGTAGTTCAAATAAGAAAATTTGATCTATTGAAATAGGACTTGACTTGTGAAAAACTATTATGCCATAAAAAAAAGGAACATGGAATACAACTACTGAAATACACAAATAAAAATCATCTGATATAACTGTGAGTCCTTAAATATTTCTATATTAGGTTACCATTCAAAATAAAACACATTTTCCTTTTTTTGTATAGTTTTCATACTATATTTACTGTTTTGTAAGGTTTTCGGAAATGTGATAAATAAAATGTATATATTGGACATTCATATTTTTAATTTAAAAGTAATTTCCTAAATATAAAAATAATCTTCAAGGGTTAGTTCATATTTGTCTAATTTGTTTAAATATTTAAGTAGGGCATTATAAGCAGGAAAACAAAATTTATTAAAAGACACTAATACTAGGGAACGTGATATTTTCTGAGTAAGAAATGCAGGTCATCAACTAGAATATTCCAAAGACTGGAAAGGTTCAGGATTGGAACTGATCTGGAGTTGAGGAGCAGACGTGAGGGAAGATGGTGAGGCAAAAGAAGGTTCAGATGAAGATCAGCCTCCTTCAGGAAGCAGAACATGTATGCCAGATGTGCTGTATCCTGTGGTATAAGTTTGGCAACGCAGCCAAATTTTCAGGGGGATAGGAAATTCCTATTGCTAACCAATATGTACCCTGGCAGGTAGAATATGAGAGCAAGGGACCAGCAGTTGGTGTAATGGCTATGTGGCTGGACTCCCATGTAGTCAAACACGGCTCAAGTCCCGGACCCAGTGGCTTAAACTCATACCGGGCATGTGTGCGTGTATGCCCAAGATATCTAGAGGAGAATGGAGGAGAAGAAATTGTGGCATGGTCATCCCCCTTGGGGGAGGGGGTGATTTCTTGATTTTTATCTCGGTATCTCCCTCTGTCTTTCTGGGGAGCGCATGTACCCTATAGCAAAAACCTCTCCAGAAAAGAAAAATAAGAACATGAGAACAAAAATTTCACCACAGAGGGTACTGGGAGTTCAAGTGCACTGGCAGGCTATTGTCATTAAAATTATTTCTTGGCAAAGGTTGAAACCCAGTTATGCAGAGGGAGTTTATAGGTCCCAGTAAGTAAACCCACCAAAATAAGGCAGTACCAAATTATTATTTTTTTAATGTAAGGTAGGTAGATAGCTGTGGGTATGAGAGAAATTCAACTTTAGAAACAAAGTTCAAAAACTCAAATACGTAAATTGAGATATAAATTGGACTATAGTGCTCTAAATAAAATAACTGGTTAAATAAAGTAAAAAGTATAGAGAGCTTACAATCTGAACAATTTGCTATATATTTAGATAATAAATCTTTTTTAAGAATTATTTAATTTTATTGTGATTATTTTATTTTTATTTTATTGAGGTTGACCAGAAAGAGACAGAGAGAGAGAGAAGGAAAGTGAGAAAGCAAATTGTCAGGTCCGGAATTTGAACCATGGTCAACCATGTGGGAGTCCAACTGCCTCAACCACCAGGCCACCTGCCAGACCCTTTGTAGGTAATAAATCTATTAATGAATCTAATGATGGCTTAATGAGTGGTTTTAAAGTCTTGAAATCAAATGTTCATCTTTTATTTCAATGGACATCAATTAATGGAAGTTGGCTCTCATGCAAGAGACCTTTACAAGGTTCTGCTTTGCTAAAGTGCTCAAGGAACTAGTGCATTCCTCCATCTACATTCTAGCAAATTTTAATGGCTTGATATTTCAGTTCACCTGTCTTCGAACTGGGAACAAACATCTGTAACCTCCCTGAACCTATGGAACACCACAGATGTGCTTCTAGGACTATTACAGAACCCTGTAGAAGTTCTTTCAAGGAACACACAGATACACAACTAGAAAAAAAAAAAATTTTATATATTTCCCACTGTTTATGGATTAACACAATGGGTTTTATCTCAAAATAGTAATGCAATTTTTTTAAAAGAAGGAACGAGAACGTAAGGTGCATGTTGTACTTTTTAAATTAGTATAGACTCTTTATAGGGGTAGTTATAAATGTCAGTTCTTGATTGCTTCAGCACCAACCCACCTTTGGGTCACACTCATTTTCTTTCTGCTGCTCTGACTATTCCCCAAGCCTCCCATTCTGGCCTCCACCCCAACTCCATCCCCAAATCCCAGGCAGTGTCCTACTGCCCTTTCCTAATGCACCCTTCTCCATACTCCTTGTCATCCTTACTGGGCTAATGGGAGGAAAGACAATAATTAAATAAATGTAACTTAATATATGAAAATTTTCTGATTATGGTTTTTTTTCATAAATATTTGCATGGAAACAAAGGCCTTCAAAGACATTTATTTTCTTTTCTTTTTTTTTAAAGAACTTCTTGATGGGGCACATGTGCTCGCCAGAGGGAGAGAGGAAAGAGAAAGGGAGAGAGAGAAATCACCTCCCAGGGAGGATGGTCATGCTGCATTCCCTTCTCCATTCTCTTCCTGGGATCTTAGGCATACACGTACACACACCTGGCTTGATTTTCAAGCCACGATGTGTGGGACTCAAACCACGGTCACTCATGTGGCAGTCCAGCAACATGATCGCTATGCCATCTGCTGGCCCCGTGGACATGTATTCCTGATGGGATTCTAGGCCTTGTCCCAGGCCCAAGTGGCAGATAAAGCTAAGGAAGACTTTCCAGGGCAAAGACATGACTACCTATTAGAGATTCCCCAACATGGTTTTGGTTTAAGGCTGGTGAAGGCCCCTGGGCCCTCTGACTCCATCCCATCAATCATGTGATTGAGAGCCCATTACACAGAACACCAAATAGAAGGTACTTGTCTGACCAGCGGACCCCTCCCAACACTCATCTCTACCAAGCTTACCTGTTTTTTGGTATGTTCATTGTATTCCCCTGGAAGATTATGTGCACTTCTAATTAAGGTCTTTGCAATATGATAATAATAAACACTAATAATAGCAAGTGGTATGAGGAAATAGACTAAGAAAATGAGCACTGAATGAATTTTGGGATGTAATTCATCCGTCTGAGGGTAGGGTATACACGCGGCGAAGCTGCTATTGTCCAAGCTACCGATGCGCGCCACTTCTGAAAACACGGCTTCGGGAATCGCCAACAGCACAGAGATCACCCAGATGCCCATGGCTCTCACACAGGTCCACCGCACGGCCCCTGACGTCTGCATGTCCATGGGATTTACAATGGCTCTGTACCTGGAAAGACAATAGGTAGCCAGTTATTCCCTTAGAAAGAAGGAAGAAAAGAAAGACATCTGATTTGCTAGAAGAGATATCAACACTCCATTATTCCCTGACTGTTTGTAGTGTGTTAAAGTCTTAAGAGACCCGGTGTGTCTCTCTCTTTCTAATTCATTCATTGCTTATTAGCACACAAGACAGGAATAGAAAGAAAAATAATGGAAACTGCCTTTCTCAAATTACGGTCGTTTGCATAGTTCATTTATAAGTTTTTTTTTCTAAAATCTACACACACTGCCTGAGTCATTGTTCACCGAATATCATAATTTATTAAATTTTTAAATGAAATACTTTTATTTTTGTAAAAAGTATGGTAATTGCTATAAAAAGTAACCATAAAATATAGAATGCCTACAATATATTAATAATATTATTAAATGCTACTCTGATACTCTTCTACAGCTTCTGAGCCTGAGACCTCTCATTTTTTTTCCTAAGGACATTAATACATATTATAGACTAATCCAAAGTGGAATTTTATCCATAAACCAATTAGAAGGACTGAAAGAACTGAAAATGGAACAGCAGTCTGTCTTTGTAGCTCACATTTATTTCATGTCAGGAGCCCATAAAGCCCTCTCTCTCCCTATGTATTAGTGGTAATATAGCACACCAGAAATACACTAGTGGTAAAGGAGCAACATTCCACACACAATTACTTAGGCAATCCCAAACACTCTACAACTGACTCAATCACACACATCAAGTATACACACCATCAAAATTTTACGTACACCTCAACTTATTTATATTTGTCTTTGCAAATATTTCAGTAGGTCTAGTAGTTAACAAGATACAGTAAAAAGTGGCCAGCAGGTGGCGTGGTGGTTAAGGTGCTGGACATTCCCACATGGCTGACGACGGTTCCAGTCCCGGACCTGGTGGCTTGCTTTCTCACTTTCCCTCTCTCTGTGTGTGTGTCTCTCTCTGGTCAAATTAAAACATAAATGAGTGGATAAATAAATAGTTTTTTTTTTAAAAAGTAACTTAAATTGACAAGCCCAAATTATTAACTTGGATACCCTTTGGAAAGTAATTTAAGATCTGACTTTTGCTTTGTAAAGTGGGGATAAAATCTATCCTCAAATTGTTATTTTGTGTTTTTTTGTTTGTTTGTTTTTTTAAAGAGTTTTTTTTACTATAGAGCGCATGTGCTTGCCAGAGAAACAGAGAGTGAGAGTGAGAAATCGCCCCCTCCCCCAAGGGAGATAGCCACACTGCATCCCTCTTCCTCTCTGGATTCTGGGCATGCACACACCTGTACCCAGTGTGAGTTTCAAGCTACCAGTCTAGGACTCAAACTATGGCCAACAATGTGGAAGTCCAATGCCTTAACCGTTATGCCACCTGCTTGCCCTCTACCCTCAAAAATTTTGTGAACAGAAAAAATTTGTAAAGCAGTATAATGCCTGGCAATTATCAGATCCTACCAGCCCAGGGCACTACACTTTCTTATTTACATTTGAATTAGTCTGATGTTCTAGACATCCATATTTCAAGCCACACGACAACCAGGTAAGGTCTCTCTCTGAGATTCGGTGAAGGTGATGCCCAGTCATACTGAGAACACCTCTCCTTCCTGGCTTGTCACAGGCGTCATTTTCAGAACCACCATGGTAGAAGGACAATTCATACTTTGATCTAAAGAGATTTCACATATGAAGGAGAAACCAGAGCCAAATGAAAGAAGAGCAATAGCGGGAACCAGCAGTTAGCGTAATGGCTATGTCGCTGGACTCCCACGTAGTCGACCGTGGTTCACGTCCCGGACCCGGTGGCTTAAAACTCACGCCGGGCGCGTGTGCATGCGAGCCCAAGATCCCGAGAGGAGAATGGAGGAGAAGGGATTGTGGCGTGACCATCCCCCCTGGGGGGTGATTTCTCGCTTTCTGTCTCTCTGTCTCTCTCTGTCTGTCTGGCGAGCGCACGTGCCCTATAGTGAAAACCTCTCAAAAAAAAAAAAAAAAAGAAAGAAAAGAAAGAGGAGCAATAGCAAAGGACTATGTCTTGAATTAAAATAGCATACATTTTTCCCAAGTAATCCCACATGGCAGAACTCAATAGACAAATGTCCCCTTACCCTAGTCTCCTTAATTGTATGTTTTTAAGAAACTGGAAGATTAGAATCAGTAATGAGAGTGAGCTAATTCTTGTATTTTTATTTCTGATTAATACATACACGGTTTTCTTTCATTTAAATTGGGAAGTACTGACAGTCCTGTAAATAAAGACAGAAGTCTTTACTTCACCTCAGGTCCTACCCCTGAACTAAAACAAACTTGATATCGCTGTGTCTGTATTTCTGAGGAATACACTTCTATAGTAAATATAGAGATTAGATCTTGATATCTTTTTGTGGTTCTTGAAGATTTTTTTCTCTTATACAACCTCTACTTCCTTTCCACCCCCGTCCCCAATATCCTGCCTTAGCAATTTATTGTGTCCATAAATTAGAATTAATAGACAATTATCATGACTAAACAAATATTATTTATTGCAAAGTAAAGTAGTATAATATGATATGTTATAATGATGTCCTTTCTTTTGCAATTCTTTTTTTATTTATTTATTTATTTATTTTTTATTTATTTATTTTTTTTGAGAGACCTTCACTATAGGGCGCGTGCGCTCACCAGACAGACAGAGAGAGACATTAGAGACAGAAAGCAAGAAATCACCCCCCAGGGGGGATGGTCACGCCACAATCCCTTCTCCTCCATTCTCCTC